GGGGAGATTTCGTCAGTCACCAGACCGTCAGCACTGATGAGACTCCCCAGATAAGTGAAGTGATCAACACGCTCGACTACTTCACTGCCTATCACTAGTTCAGGTGCCAATGCAACCCAGTCTTGAAGCAACATTTTGCATTTCGAGGGGGAAAACCGCATCCCGAACATGCTCGCATTGTTGCTTATGGTAGTCAGAAGACTCTGCATTTTGTCAGCGTCTTCACCGAATAGAACTATGTCATCGGCATATTCTAGATCAGTAAGCGACTTTCCTGGTAGAAGGTCAACCCCTGAAAAATCTGACGAGCTTAATGTTAACTCTAAGAGGATGTCTACGACAAAGTTAAACAAGAATGGAGAGAGTGGACAGCCCTGACGGACACCACTTGATGTAGAGAATTCAGATGACAGTTCGCCATATGCTCTCACCCGACCAGTGGTGTTCGAGTAGAGAGCTTGTATAAGGTTAATGTACTTCTTTGGTACACCTTTCAATGACAGACACTGCCACAGAACCTCACGATCCACTGAGTCGAATGCCGCCTTAAGGTCCAGGAACACGACTAACGTCGGACGTCAATGAGAAGCAAGGAGCACTAAAACTCTAGAAGTCGACTTCTAGAAAACAAGCTGAAACTGCATAACATCAGACAGAGTACATCGTAATGCCATACTACTTAGCTTGATATCATATCACGAACTGGACTAATGCTAAGGATTAAAAAATAGGATGTTGGTCACTGCTCAGTAACCGGTCCTTGGAATCTCTGACCCCAAAAGTCTACAACAAACAACTAAACGCAAACTCTGTGACTAATTGACTGGTACGCTGAAGTTTCCTTTTTCTAAATTTGTGTTGACATCATTTCAATTTTTATAGAGCATGATGATGAATATATCATACAAAATCCCATATAACCTACCTTTTTGTAGGATTTCGTCGGACACTTTGTGATGTCATTAAAGATTCAGTCTGCTGAGATAATGACTGACCACTGGTAGGATTTGCATTGCGCCGTGGTCTAAGCTGCCGAACTGTTGAAGGAACGGCAAAGGCTGGTGAAACTGACGAACTAACAGCTGAATTATCAGATGAAACGTCACACTTTCTTCTTACACGACGCTTTTTAACCGTGACAATTTCAGGAGATACAGGTTCGGATGGTGCAATATTTTCCTTATCTGGAAATACGCAGCCAGCAACTATTTGTTCATCACATTTCCTCTATAATGAATGTTCACAAAAAAATAATTAAAAATGACCTGTACGATCATTTTATATTGTTCATCACTACTTTTTGCAATTTTGAATAAATATGAAACAATTAGTAGAATCTAAGTATAATCATCTAGGTTTTCGTCTTTATACCCTTGCGATCAAGTTTCTAATAGCTTAGAAAACTCATAAACTGATACATGTAAAGATATATTCAGACATCAGATAAAACTCACGAAAAAAGAGGAACACTCACTTCAGGATGCTTAATTGAATGAGGAGTAGACTCATTAACAGGCGATGATGTGAACAGTCCATACTTTTGTGAGGAAGACGTACACGAACTTGTTCGCAAACAATTTTTAGAAATTATGTTTGGTTTTAGTGATAAGGAGACATCGAGTGAAACCAGGTCACATGAAGTTCTAAAATTAAATTATAAAAGGAGGAAGCCGAGTAGTAGGTTTAAGTAGTTAATAAAATTAAAAAGCTTCGTATCATCGAAGAATAAAAATCATGATCAGGAAGAAAAACCTACCTTGTGTTCCCATTGTTATCAAAAGTGAGTGTATATCTTTTAACAGTATCATAAACGGAAGTCCTGCGACTACCCGATTCATCGTAAATAGAACAGTCACCATTTTTTGTGCCATCAAAGATATAGGACCTGTCCATAAAAGACTGACCAGGAGGTGTTCGTGGAATTTTATCTCTCTTCTGAAAAGGATCCATGTACTTAGACACAGATTCTAACCCTGAAGACCACCAAAAAGGAATAGTTGAAAAATCAGTTAGCTAAAAATCAACTATAGAAGACTTATAGAAAATAAGATGTGGCGGTAAACGTGACAAGTGTATTCTGCACAGAGAGCTGTCAGGAAGTCACTCCTCCCTAGAATATAACAAGTCCCAAAACACACCTAACAAAAAATTGTATCTATTTTCACACAAAACAAACGGCAGTATCACTATAGTTAGTTAGTTTACATTCACGAGATCCATCACATGTAAAAAATAATACAAACTTTTAGACTATCAACCAAAAACATGTTGATGTGGAATCCGTTGAGGTAGAACAAACTGAAGAAGAATATTTGGTAATGTCCAATAGCTGGTAGTCTAGACACTCGACTGCACTAATCCTAGTTGGTTGACAGTTCTTTATGAATCTTTATGTGCCGTAGTTTGAGTGCGCCTTTTGGTACCAGCTGTTATCACACTGCCAGGACGGAGATCAGTTGGTTGCAATGCGGAGCATATTGAAGAGAAAATTCTAATGCTAAAGAGATGTCAGAACCAAGTAAATAAATAGGTTAACTGATTGGTAATGACGATTGGGCTAGGACAGACGTATAAGCGAACAGGAGGAGACAGAGAAAATAAGTGAGATAGAATAAGTCAGTGATCTGAGGAAATAACAATGATAACAACTAGCAAGTTTCGAGGCATACATCAAGCGTAGCTGGCCCAAGCGAGAGGTGACAATCCGTCTGTAAGTACGTATTTATCAGGTTACGCTATCGACTAAGGGGACGATGTTCACTCTGGCTAAGAGAGTATTCCAAGCTGGGACAACTCTCAGAACGAGAAAGTAGAAATGAAACAGAGGTGAGATTTCGAAAAGCAAGCGACACTCGTCAGGAAATTTTGGTGTTGATTAGGGTGAATATTAGCTAAAATTCGCTTATTTTGTGATTCATATCTTCTTGATCGCTATATAGTTTAGTTTGTGTCTACATTTAAATTACCAGTCACGTTTTTAAGTTTTACATCAACTTTATTGGTTTAGTGTAACCTCATAAGAAATGGAATTCAGTCAGAATTAAATAAACTTACAAGACGTACAAATCAATCTCAGAACGGAGTCAAAACACGAATTGACATCAAACACCAAGGTCACCACCTTGAAGAGGTTATTCACCAAAATCCAATATCTTTTTCACGAGCTAATGTTAACCAATTGATTTCTTCGCGCTCGATTCTTCTTCTTTCGGTACGGTTCCAGGTGTTCGGTAATGTCCAATGGATAGAGATCTAGCCACTCGACTGTCTAATTCTAGTCAGTTGGCAGTTGGTTGTGAGTTTGTATGCCTCGGGATTTGAATGAAAACGTTTGTTTCAGGGCAGTAGGGTTTCTGGATACCAGCAGCCATCACATTACCAGACCGGAGATCAGTTAGTTGCAATGTGGATAGTAATAAGGATAATAAGGATAAAGTTCTAATGTTAATATGAATAAAATTTCAGAACTGCCTAATATATAGATGAATTTAGTTAGTTAATTGGTTGTGAAGATTGTGAGGGAGGACTGTAGTGTAAGCAAGTGTGAGAGAAATAAAATGAGAGGCGAGATAGGTCAAGTAAGTGATCTGAGGAGATGGCGATGCCAACTAGCAGGTCTCAAGATATGCATCATGAACAGCTTGTCCAAGAGGGAGATGATAGTCCGTATGTGAGTACATGGTTATCAAGTCTCTCATTAAAGCAGTCTACTGAGGGGACTGTGGTCACCTCGTCTGGGAGAGCATTCCAAGTTGCTATGACTCACAATGAGGAAATGTGTGCACGAATCTGATTATTCGCTCTTTGATGAGCAATATTTCGAGGATTGCCTCGAGGGTAGTGGCGGCAATGCATTGGTAAGATGCTGACGTTGGGATGGATTGGCGTCCTGAACATGTTGTACGCCATAATCATATCACCTCTGATTCTCTTGTAACTCAGGGGAAAGAATCCCAAGTACTGGGATCTATGTTCCTAAGGTTTGTTCTTCAGACCTATCACCCATTTCGTTGCTCGTCTCTGCATTCCATCCAGGAGATTTATGTCTATTTTAAGGAGAGGAAGTGTGACGACGTTTTGAACCTCCAGGTGTAGGCGCACGTATGCCCAAAATAACTTCAGGAATAATTATGGTGTGATCGCACGATGTTGTCAGCGCATAAAGTGAAGGGTCGCATTCGCCTTGACTGCGTCCCTTGAATAGTTTTGGCTTGTGTTGAGGCTTTCTGTGGTTATTAAACCGAGAATACGCTCTGAAAAGACATAAGGGAGAGGCCTTCCATTGAGGGTGCAAATCATTTGCATCATGTGGGGCAGGATGTTCGTGACATGACATTTCGGCTGGTTTGGTTTCAAACCGCTTTTCACTGCCTATTCCTCAACGGATGCAAGGTACATTCGAAGCTCAGTCGAATCCCCTTCAGTTCTTCAGTTCCACACAAGAGCCAATGTTCCAGATATCCAACAGCTTACGCATAAGTCCTCTTACGTTGCTATAGAGTCACTTGATGGTTTGTCTCAGCACATGTTGCACCTTGTTGATGGATTTTATAACAATCTATTTAAAATGAGTTGGCCAGTTCTGTGGGTACTGGCCTCTAATTAATTCCAAAACGAGACCTGTAGTTTGAAGTGAGGTCATAAAAATTACGTAAAAACACAGTAACATTCACTAGCTGTTATATGCTGTTTTTGTGAAAGTGACAGTAGTATGACCTTCCTTCTTCATCAAGTCACTTCAATAATACTAAAGAATTTCGCCACTGATGATGATCATATGAATGGTGCTTTTCAGTTGACGGAACTGCTGGAGAAGAATAATTTTGTTAGATTGTGCGTCAAGTTTCACATTCGCGTTGCCCATCAAGATGATCCGAAACTATGGTCTTTCGAAAAGGCCATTAGTATTATATTTGCGATGTTTGCTGCATCCCCTTGCAAATGTCTGGGACATTTTTTCAGTGGCCTCGAAGGCTTAAGAAGATACATTTGTGAGAAGATCGACCCCGTATTTACGCCCATTTTTAGATCTTTGGATATAGGATCCAATCTGACCTACAGATATACTACTAGAACCGTGAACGCGATACTAGCGAGTACAGAGTCTATGTGAAAGCTGCAGTCAGAATAAGGACAACTTGGCTTTGAACTTTATCTGTTTCTAAACGTAAACACCATTATATTATTACAGTACTTAAGGAAATTATATCTATTAAGTGGATCGAACAAAGATACCGACCAATATTGCGTGTCTTATTGAAATGAACAAAATAATGGGCCACACTAATATATTAGGATAGTGATGTCTTTCAATTGGTAGGTCACTTGTAAAAGAAATAATTTACAGACGCATCAGACCAGATCAACGGGGTGAGCATTTAAACCACGGTTTGATTGGTTAGTAATGGACATAACTAACTTTCCCCCAAGCGTACACCACGTGTAGACCTCGTTACCACCGCACTCAGATAATCGGCCTATTCCAGCAGGCACACGATCCGTATATCTCGGCTGATCTCTTCGGTTGCTGTCCTCAGTTCAACTGCTCTAACTCGTCAATCCGTACCATAACTGGCCCGTGTAACTATAGTTTTTGGCCATAGGTTTTTGTGCGAATATTGTTTGTTAACACTAAGTCTCCCGGTTTTAGATTTCTTTTCATGTCCAACCACTTGGATCTCGCCCGAAGGGTTGGTAGGTACATTCGTAACCATCTTTTCCAGAATGAGATCATCTGAACAGATTTAATTGATGGCGCCCATTTAAACTTTGCACTGAATTCGATATTGCGCTGAATGCTGGACGATCTTCCACAGACATCAACGGAGTACAACTAAATGGGTCTTTGAAATCGGTTGAGTACAATCGTTCAGACTTACCGTCTAGTTCCTCTTCCGAGAGTAATTAGGTACGCGGTTGATTTCTGAAGGGCGAAGAGCGTCCAACTCAATATAGTCCTCACCGCGGACGGTTCTTATCCTTTCATCTCTTATACGCCCGGTACGTTACATCCAATCAACAGTTTGACATTCTCATCTTCTACTCTCGGAAAGCTTATGTCTTTGAAATAGGACCAGGATACCGTTTGATGAGCCGTTGGCACATCCCTGTAAACTGCCGGTAGTTTTATGAGTAACGATAATATGATAGGATAATAATGTCCTTCATTTGGTAGGTCACATGTAACAGAGATAGTTTACAGACCGGATCAACGCGGTGAGCGCTCAAACCACGATTTGATTGGTTAGTTCTGGACATAAATAACATTGGAGATCACAATATGGCTGATCTGTGTCAGTATTTGTGAGCATAACCGAGTTAGACAGGTAGGATGAAATCCTACAGCAGACCGAGAAGTCACTCCTCACGATCAATGCTAAGCCTGGATTATACAATCGTGTTAAACAGTTGAGTGGCCAGAATAAATACTTCAGTAGTCAGCAGCATATATCAATATTAAAGTAACAGAATTACGAGGAGAAACGGCTCATTGACATCCAATTCATTGGTGGTTGTGTATTTCCCTTAGCACTGACGATAAACTGGTGAACTCACCTGTACCCATTGACCGGTCTATTGAGTGATTTTGCAAATACCCAATGACATTTCTCCCCCGCCCCATAAATTTATATTTAAGGACCAACTAATCTTTCATGATTATAAAAGAGGAATCTTCCAAAGTATTTTTCAATCTAGATGAATTTCGTATTAAAAATTGTCTTCTAAACTGACATGCGACGGTTTTCCAAAAGATACTCGTTAGCAAGACAATTTTGTATGCGAAAGTTAGCGATAGTGTTGCCGCCAGTCTAAAAATTGGCAAAATATGGGCTGAAATTCGTCCACAATATAATCTAGATCACCTTAGGTGTGTGGTCTACCAAGGTAAGAAAATACAGTTCGTTCTACAAATTCAGTTATTGAATGTAGAATGTCTTTTACATAAGTTTCCTTGAGGTGGCGCGCTTTCTATTTCAGGGTTGAGTTTTAAGATTTGGATATTTGTGCATGTATTCGGTAGGTAAACTGGTTGTAAATGAGATTTACAAATATTTCCTTCAATATACTTTTTTATTTGTTGAATATGCTTACGAGGTCTTTAAGTTGTGAGGTTTCCTGTGTTGTTGAGACAAATTCACTCATCCGGATTGCAAGACATACAAACTCGTATATAAAAACGCCAGACTGACTAGAGGTAAGTGCAGTTGTGATGATGGACTACCGCTTATTGGAAATTTATAAATCCCTGGGACCGTGCGGAAGGAGTGAAAAGGGAGCGCAAAGCTATATTCTGTTTATAGTAGTCCGTGTTAAGGTTTGCAGACGACTCGGGTGTACGTATACATTAAAATCATGTTTATATATATATATATACATATATGTATATATATATGTACATTCACATAGGGATCATGTTGAGACTGGTACAATTCGTTTTTGATTAGTGTATTTTTAAATTTATGCTCCTCATTATGGTTAAACAAATCGTCTCATTACTTCCACTGTTGACAATCGCCAGTAAATAGATGCTCCTAAGCATTATGTTTGACTACGACTGTCTGTTTAATAATTTAGGCCACTGGAACTACTATGTGGCCAAGTGTTTGCGTTTCTCAAATACCTGTCGATAAAATGGTATTTACACAATATTCCCAATCTGAGAGATTTTTAAATGATCTTAAATTGGCGTTTGTTTGTAAGTCTGACTTAACTCCTGACATAACATGATTTACATTTAGAAACCTCAAGTACTTTCTGTAAATCAAGGTAAGACATCTTTGAGCTGTCGAAGCTCGAGTCGTTTAAGATAGCACTAGTTTTTCACGAAGCTGGGTGGTAGTTCATCAGTCATCATGAAAAAATAATATTTTTGTAAGATAGCATCTGACAATTAATTACATGAGTTCAACACATTTAATACCGAATGGTATCTTTTACCTATAGTGTCTCCATGTTAGAGGTATGTATCGCGAATAAGTCATTCTAAAAATTTAGTGGCTGTAAACACTAAAGTTCCATAAGTTTTCCATAGTGAGATATTTGAGTTTTTCCGGGATTACACATTTTACTTAATTCACAACCCATTGGCACTCAGTGCATATGCAGATATGGTAAACTACATATCAGAACATAATTTGGTTAGTCTCAAGGTTACGATAGTTACTCTGCTTTTCTACTAGTAGCATTCTAGAAACTTATTGGGCGGAGGCATGTTATAATGCTGATGGTGGAGGGTATGTTACACACAAGAACTCGGTATTTAGTGTGTGGGTAATTTTGTCCCACTGTGCGATGACATTGAGTTTATGCAGACCGCGTTTAAATAGTTGGAAATCATCTGTATGTATGGTGTGTGCTTTACACCTATATGCAAAGTACTTTCACAAGACAGGAAAACTTGTGCTGGTGCTGACTCCGTCATGGATCCTTTGAAGTAACTGGGTAGGTGCTGTTGGTGGTGTGATTGGTAAAATTTATAAGAGCCAGGACTGTTTTTGACAGTCAAGTTCATGTCTCGCGTTGTCGATTCGAACTTTTACAGACACACCATGACAACTCATCAGTAATGGCAGTTTTGCTTTATGTCAAGCTTAGCATCCGAGTTTAGGATGCCAATTACTCTGCATTCAATCTCAGTTGTTTTCGGAGGATTCCCGGCATACATTATCAACTTGTGTAAATAATGTTGAGGTTACGCAATTCGAATTAGAGGGCAGTGGCAAATACTCAGTTTCATATTGAAACATCGGCTTATTCGTGTTGGACATGTTTAAAAATGTTATTCTAGTGACCTCCATTCCTTATCTTACTTACCGACACTGCAGCAGGGAAAAAAACCCAGATGGTCCGCTTTAGACATGGCATCTTGACTTGAAGGATAGATGCATGAAACTATCGTTTGTTTATGCATCACGTCTCCTTGGCAGGAGTGTTAGAGATGTTGCAACTCAGTAGCTTGAGGCACTGACGTATTTCCATTCATTTATTTTTCATTATACTCATTCTCCTATCTCGTCATAAATCCATTTCCTTGTTTGTGGCGCATAATTATATTGGTATCCAGTTGTACCCGCATCTGGTTTTTCAGTAAAAATAAGTAAAGTAGGTTAGGAATTTGACTAGATAATATGGCTTACTATTTCCTGATCTTCTGTCTTGTATAATAAACGCGTGACAGTTACTCATTGGTTTATCCTTGTGATTTAATTCGTTTTGCATTCTTTTTTAGGTGTTTTTTAAATGAGACATGAAGTTTTGTTCATTGCGTTTACATTAGCAAGATAACCATACGATTTAGAGATCAGTTGTTCATTGGATGATTATGTCTATCTTCGCAAATCATGATGCAGTGCATATGGATCATGGAGTATCAGACGAATCCGTTTTATATAATCATTCATATCTAATCCCTCCACTAAACCAACTAGAAAATGATATTATTAAGCCAGATCCAGATATTCTTACATGTGTACAGTCTATTAGATCTCAGTCACCCAGTAAGCAAATATATGATATGCTTGATAGTACAGTTCTTTCTGATAATCGTAAGTTCTATTTTTATTTATTACGAGTATTCGAGTGAGAGTTAACCATCGATTGTCTTTATGTATTTTCATTCGAATATAAAAGACTCCTTTCCCGTATTCCTGGATTCATATAATTTAATAAATGTTAGCTATGTAATTTCTATTATCTTGCTTTCAACCTTACTTTGTGCCACTTAAGTTTCATTAGTAATAGATGGATTTAGATTGTTATAGCTGTTGAATTTGTTCTGCTAACAAACTAGAACCATAAATTAGCTGTCTAGTTTTATTTTGCAACGTCTGTTATGCAAAAGCATTGCTTCTAAAGATCGAACTTTTCGCTATTTAAGGGACATATCTGCACTTAAACCATTACTATTATGTAAATGATTAACTCGTTTTTATTACTGTCTGTCTCATTCACTTGAACCCCACAAGCTTTATTGTTACTTAGGGTAATTTACTGTAGATCAGTATTTAAAGTCACTTCGTCCATAGTTTTAAGTTCTGTTTTTTTTTTACATAATTCAATTTCAATCAGTCTGGTTTAGCCATTTAAATATATTGTCCATTTCTTCATGTTGTTTTTACTTATTTTTTCTTTCAGCTATCCAAACCACAGTGAGTTCCGTATGCAAACCTCAAATGTCACTCAGATCTACCTCTTGTGACACAAGCAACTCCAAGTTAGATGTTGATATCAAACCTTCGTTCATTTATACTGATAATGCTCAAGTAATTAACCAGTCCTTCTTAACAGACTTGCACAGTCATACTGATATTCATACAATTTCTTCGGATACCAACCATAATCTATGTCCCATTGCTAATTCAATTAACAGTAGTCATCTTCAGGAACTTGCATATAACACGCCTCAAAAATATTCTCATATTTTGCCTCCCGATGCTCACCAACACCCTGCATACTCTGATAGTGTAGTATCGGAACCATTCACTTGTCTGCTTGCTTCTGGAAGTTCAGATGAGATCGCGTCTTATTTACCTCAAGTTACAAAAGTTGACACTGATTCTCTTACTGTTCCTCGGTCGTAAGTTAGTTTTTTACTATTAAAGCTTTTTTTGTGTAGCCTATTTGTCTTATGATAGTATTTAGTCATGTGGGACATGTGGTAACACAATTTATGTGCCGAATACATGTTCAAACCTCCAATCTATTGGTTGGAAATTGCTCCATAAGTACCAGGAAATGGCTCCACATTTAATATCTATCCATCATACGGTTAACCACCTTAATATTAAAAATACAGATTTCACAGCGACTATGTTAAATTTTGTCTTTTGTCTTTTCTAAATGTTTTGTATAAGTAAAATATTTAGTTTGAAGCAATCAGTCTCAAAATTAGTCAATTCAGATGACTATCAAGTTAATGTCCAGCAATAGCTGCTATCCCTTCTTGACGAATAGGCATGCCTATGGTGGTCATTAGTCGGTTTAATTTATCTAGGACATCCGTTTTTCTGGTCCTACCATGTAAGGCAAATCAATTGGAGACTAGTATGACTAATATTGGTAAATCAAGATCCAAGGGCGAAGTCGTACTGATGACTATCGGGGGTGTGACATCTTTAGCGACTTTCCTTTTCCACTACAACGAATGATGTGGGAAAACTTAACCCTAAAGATAACACACCTCATCTTGTCTGACGGATTTTCATCCCAGACTGCAAGTACAAGGCCAGTACATCTAAAACTACTCGACCTAAAACAGCTGTCCATTGGACACTGTGACCGAATTCCTAGGTAGCTAAGACCAATGTAGCAGCAGTCTCTGAAGCAGTATGCCTCAACATGCAAAAGGGAAAAAAGCAAGATCCTTATATACAGTACAACATGCACCAACCAAATCACACTCAATGGAGAAGCTGTAGAAAAATTGGAAACTTTGATATACCTGGGAAGCACCATTGACGAACAAAAGAGATCTGATGCAACTGTGAAGACACGGATTTGCAAAGCAAGAACAGCATTTCTACAACTGAAGAACATATGGGACTTAAGAAAACTTAAACCGATACCAGTCTGCATTTTCTATACAAACGTCTAAGCAATTCTGTTATATGAAACGGGAACTTGCAGGACCACAAAAGCCATCATCTGAAATGTACAGGTTTTTATAAATAGTCGTCTACACTAGATTCTGTAGGTCCGTTGGCTATACACCAGCAATAACCTACTGCGGCACAGAACAAACCAAATTCCATCTGTGGAAAAAACGATTGAGGTAGATAGAACACACATTGCAGAAAACACTCAACTGCATTACATGGCAACCCCTAACTTGAGACTGTCAAGACCACAGGAGAATGGATAAACCAAAAAACTGGAGGCAGAAATGAAAATAGTGAATGGCAGTCGGCAAGGACTGGGTAGGAGAGCCCAGGACAGAGATTGTTGGAGAATCCTGGTCGACGACATTACCTCAATGAGGGGTAACAGGTTTAAGTAAGTAAGACTACTACCATCCCAGTTTACGTCTTAAAAAATTCTCTTTCTTACTGTGGGAAACCAGGAAGGGAAAACTGCCCTCATTCCCCTAAAACCACTCGAGACTACCTTGTTTATGATAAAACCCCTTCCCCACTTAATTATTTTTCTATCCCTACTACCAACCATTCTCCCATAACTGTGTCTATCTTCCACTCTCCATCAACGCCAATGATTCCAATTTAGAAGATGGTGTTTCTGTTTTCCCGGAACTGCGTTCTAGATTTATTATACGTCATTCAATTTTCAAACTTTATATCAGGTAGCGTAACAGGCTTCCTTTGTTATAAATCTAGAATCTCGTGCCTCTAATGTATTCTGTATACGGAACCCCAACGTAGTCATTCTCTTGATCCCAGTTAGTATCACGATCTAACGCAAAATATACTTCGTGTATTTGGAGAAGTGACAACAACTTCTTGTAGTTGTGCTGATGTATTTTTAACACTAAATATAAAAGCAGAACAGGTTTTTGACTAGATTACTATCGACAGTCGCCTATATACTGTCCGTCTATATGGTACAATAAGAACTTAGAAACTTCGAAATAAAGTACTGGCTTTTCATCGTTTTTGTCTACGCACTCACTAACTGCATCTCTGATGAAGCAAAATATTATTTTACTGGGGACTTCCCAACCTTCACAGAATCAAGCTGTTAGACAGAATTTGTATGCCCTAATTGGTAGGCTAAGTTAATCTGAATGCTTAGATGGTCTTTTGGCGTTCTAATCCATCAAGCAGATAACAATGATAATCTATTATACTTATGCTCAGACAACGGCTAATTCTTGGCAGGTATAGACTTTCGGTATTAGTAGATACATTGTTTAATCTTGCGATCCTCAACATCACAACAATACGTATGAATAAACTAAATTATTGTTGGTCATTGTTGGGGAGAGGCTTGTTAGCGTGCTGCTGCCTTTTCTGAAACCCATACCTAGGCTTTGATTGCACCCTAACAAAAGCACACATTTCTATATGCATTACATCAGTTGAATTGATACATGCTTATCTCAACAGACTTGGAGATCCATAGAAACTGGCAACAACTCAAACGTAGACTAACAGAAGGTCTACAAAATAATTGTGAATGATATTGGACACTGAAAGCAAAAGAGTTGGGAAAAGCAACGGCAAAAAATAATACTAGTTCGTCATTTTGTATCATTAAGTAAATGTATATTTAGAAAGCATCTATTAGTCAGTCTCGGGAAAATATGGAACCGCCATTCACTCATAGTTTAAGAAATAAGACCAATAGGCATAACAATTTAGTGAACTGTTCAATTAGCTTTCGGCTATTCTTCAAATACTTTCTATTCTCAATCAAATCTTAATAGATTAACCCGGAAGATCGTTAGGGTAATAGTTCAGTCTTAGAGGCCGAACTGATCGTCCCTGTTTTATTTGCTTTCGTTATTGATGTCATGTAAAAATCATAATCTCATCCACATTTTCAGGAGTTAATCTTCTATCAAGAGATTTACTTGTTAACTCGGATTACGTAGACGACATAGTTCTGTTTGGTGAAGACCCTAACAAAGTATATAGTCTTCTGATTTACACGTATTTAAGATGTGCTTTTCTCCCACTAAATGTAAACTTTTTTCCCATAAATGGTCTGGATCAGCTCCTAGATTGACCTTAGGGGCTAGAATAGCTGAATGAGTTCACCTTCTCACTTGTCTTAAAAGTTTCATTAACCCTGGTGTGTTAATGTCTGCTGAAATTTCGACACGGGTTCAGAAGCTCAATTAGTCTCCGCCAATTCGCACTACTTGTGGTGTAAGAGAGATGATCGTTTATCGACCAAGGACATGCATAATGAGTATCAGTCTTCTCCGTATTCCTTTTTCTTGACAACATGGTCTATGAAAATAGAAGACAACTATGGGCTATTGGATTGTGGTCATATGTCATGGAATTACTGGCGTTCCGTAGAACGACTGAATAAGCAGTTTTGAGGTTAGGGACAAGTTGGGAAATTGGCTGGATGATCTAGTAAACCTCGATCGACTCAGATGACTAGGATCTGTGTTATTAACACCTAATCACTGCCTGTGTTCGGGTGATAGAGACATGGTACCAGTCTAAAAAGTCATTGATAGTCTGAGCCATGTTGATGTATTTAGACTACCTGATTGAGGTTCACATGATTATTATAACTAACGGTACAGAGACTTTAGCTAACATGAGTCAAAATCGTTCACAATGGTGCATATGCTTTCACTCATTATCTTCATCAAAACGTTGAGTTCTAGTAGTTATCCATATTATACCTTTTCACTTTGTCTGTTTAACCTTTATTCCCAATGCTCAATTATTCTCATTGTAATTAGTACTATGTTTAGACCTCTTGCTATCTATCTCGTTTTGCTAATGGTACATGACAGCTTAGGCTAATGCACAACACTCTTGCTAGGCTCTGCATTGATGAAAAATAACTAACCAAATCGATGTAAAAATGAATCACAATTCTAAGCCTTTGAAAATATCGTAAATCTAATCTTCTCGATGTATGGACTAATGCTTAGACTGATGAGGCCTTTTACGATTACTCTTTAAAACTAAATTTCTCTGTACAAATTACCACTGAATAAATGATGTTTACAATAAGCGTCGAGGTTGAATTGAATAAATTAAATGCAAGTTCACAAAGGTTTGATAGCTACATGCATCTTTCAAATTCACTGTTAATTTCAATGAAGATATGATAGTTTATACACTTAGTATGTTATGTATATTCCCATTATATGTGATCAATAACATGCTGTAATCAATTGGATAAATTTTTCACGATTAACTTTTCTTCAAAGTCAAAGTTAATACTTAACGATCAATCTCATAATAGTTAGTTGTATATTTCAGCTAGTCAATTTGAAAATTATTATTAACTTTGATCTCACTTCAAATTAATCAAATCTCTAAAATCACTAATCTCAAAACCATAATCAATTCTTTGTTTTCTTTCGAGTTCTACTTTAACGATGAGTTTACGTAATAAGATTTAAAAAATGACATCATATTCATTTCTTAATTGCTTGTGTTCAACAGCAAACAAAACAGAATTGAAAGGATTATGTAATAATAGTAATAATAAGTGAACACTGGTTCTGTTTGTTTCTGATTTCTTTTCAGAAGTATGATGATTTTTTTTCCCATTTTTTTTAATCCCTACTTAATATTTGAAAGTCTTACGATAATAAATCATTGAAAATGTGACTTTAGGTTGCTCACTTTTACTGACATTCGTTATTATGGCATATTCAAAACTTCGTTTATCAGATTTAATCCCTATGAAACTCGAGAATTAATTAGTTATCCTTTCAGTGTAACATGTTTTCGAAATAGAATATCACTGGTTACCGGGTGAAGTTAAATACAGTACAAATTAGTCCTTTTGACGTTGTGAATACACTTCACTGATACCTTTCAGCGCCAGCGAAACCTCCATGGTTTAAGAGTTTCAGTTAGAGCATTTTCAATAATAGAAATTGTTTAAGATATTAGGCATATTATTAAAAAAACTTGATCCATCATTTGTGAAAACTGGAACATCACTCAGGTTGCTTTTAGGCGATTAATTCTTATGAATAATGTCTTAACCAGTATTTTCATATATTCAATTCTCTTTTAGACCAGTATTACGTTTTGTCGATCATAATAAAATAAAACCTGAAAGCAGAGAATGTTTCTCTACGCAACATCCTTCTGAATTGGCCAGTCAGTCTTCATCAGCAACTTCTGTAAATACAGCGAATTCGAATCTAGTTTGTGTCATTTGTGGTGATAAAGCTAGTGGTAAACATTATGGTGTGATTTCATGTGAAGGATGTAAAGGATTTTTTAAGCGAACAGTTCGTAAACAATTAGTATATGTTTGTCGAGAATCTGGTCAATGTCCTGTAGACATCCGGAAGCGTACACGTTGTCAACATTGCCGTTTTGAACAATGCTTAGCAAAAGGAATGAAGAAGGAAGGTAAGTGTGCATGTAAAACATTTAGCGTTTTGCGTAACCGAATTTAATCGCTTTGTACATGATCATTTCTTCGGAAATGAAAATCATTGATTAAGTCCTCATTGAAAACAAGGCCTAGTCTAGACCGTGATGTAATAGATTAAACTAAGTGGACTTTTAGAGAAGTAATCCCATTGCCACTTATAGCAATTTAATTTCTGACTGGCCATGTTTCACAGCCATAAAGTAAGACGGAGCGAATTACTGCGCAGTACACTCGTCCTTTGGTTAGCAAACAGATATCTCGCCTTCGCCATAAGTGACGCAGGTTGGCAAAAGCCAACCGAGCCTTTTGTATCCCTGCTGAGATTTCGTCAGTCACCAGGCCATCGCACTGATGAGACTCCCCAGATAAGTGAAGCGGTCAACACGCTCGACTACTTTACTCCCTATCACTAGTTCAGGTGCAGATGCAACCCAATCTTGAAGCAACATTTTGCATTTTGAGGGAGAAAACCGCATCCCGAACATGCTTGCATTGTTGTTTAGGGTGGTCAGAAGACTCTGCATTTTGTCAGCGTCTCCACCAAGTAGGACTATGTCATCGGCATATTCTAAGTCAATGAGCGAGCCTCTTAGTAAAAGGTCTACTCCTGAAAACTCAGACGAGGATAAGGTTATATCTTGGAACAAAATTCTATATGATATTCAAAAGCTATAAACGTCCTTATTGAAATCGCCTGTCATTCCTGTCAAACGGAAATTTATGGGTCGATTTTATGGGGACTCTCAGCGATAAAATTTTAATGATAGTTGTACATTAACACATAAAAGAGTACATCACTTCGCACTCGACTGGTAGTAATTATCAACGAATATTTTGAAAACAAAATCCAGCGAAGAGATTTGTCTTTTCATTTAAGTCATCAAACAAAATTACTGGTTTCAGTCTGGAAAATAAATTCATCAGTTACATACTAGTTTGTGCACTAAGCGATAAATTACACCATTTTCCTCTCAATTTCCTCACTTTGTATACATTTTATCTTTTTACTCATATAATTTGGTATGTAAAATCTCTTATTGCATTCAAGTCAAACTTAATGTGTATTATGATATTTTTCAGCTGTTCAAGAAGAGCGTCATCGTCAACCATCATCTAATTCAGTGCCTTCAATTTCTAAGACGCCAAAGACTGAAAGGAAAGGTCCTGGACGTCGTTCAGCATTTAGTAATAAATCTGTTGAGTCAATTTCTACTGATCAACAAGCAACCTGTAATCAAGATTCAATACCTTGCAGTGCTACCACTACTACTACTACTACTACATCTACTGACTGTATACAACCTGATCAAGTTAAATCAGAAAGTTGTTCAACTAATTGTATTAGATCTAATAATGTATTACTGTCTGATGAAGTAGATCTACCTAATTTGACATTACGATGTTTACTTACAGCTGAATTAAGCATGGATCCTAAATTGGCTGTATCCGAAAGAGGTGAAGCAATTTATGAAGATATACCTGGTGATGATGATACTGGTTTACATCCATTGACTATAATCTGTCAGTCTGTTGAACAACAATTACCTAGAATAGTGAACTGGGCACGTCAATTGCCAGTGTTTTCATCTGCCTATCTTAGTTTTGATGATCAGTTCTGTTTAATCAAAGCTGGTAAGCACCGGTTTATTGAACCAAAATTATGATTATTCATTAATTATAGTGATTTAATTCGTGAGTTAGCTTATTGATGAGAATGTACTTGATTTCCGGCTAGTGTTACTAGTTCAACCCCTCTCTTAAAATCTATGGTGTTTGCGTAGTGGAGTACTGGACACTCGTCCTTACACTTTTAAAACTTGGGTCCATAAATCTGTATACGGGTGATGAATAAATTACATTCACGATAATTCATAATTATCAATGTGCGACGTAATAAAGCGTTATCAAATTCACACAAAATATTTCAAGGATTTTTTATTTCATACAAAAAGAACTTGGTCATAAAATTTAATTACTAAACAGGTTTCAATTTCTTTTCGCTTACTCTCTGTCTTCCTCTTTGGTTTAATAAACATGTTCATATTTATTAAAATAATTACTGTACTTAATTGTCCTTCAAAGTGAAATGTCATTTGACGATTATTTCAGTGTTAAGTTAAAAAAAAATTCATCAGTACAAAACACGTAGTTGTAGTGACATGATTTTGCTTAGATTGATATATCTAACCTGTCTAAGATGCTAGCCTATTTTTGTAATCTAATCAGTCATTTTCAATCTTTCTCATTGGATAAATTTTTTTACATTGAGAGATTAAATAATTAGACCTGTCATAATGTTTTCAATCTTATTGGGATACCGAATATAATGATATATTCATTTCGTTCCTCATTCGTATTTTTTTTATAGCTTGGCCTGAATTAGTTCTAATTAGTTCAGCGTATCATTCAACTGTTATTAGAGATGGTCTACTTTTATCGATTGGACGTCATCTTGGAAGAGAAGTGGCTAGATCACATGGTCTAGGACCTCTTGTAGATAGAATTCTTCATGAACTTGTTGCACGTTTTCGTGATTTATCTTTACAACGAACTGAATTAGCTTTGCTACGTGCTATTATTCTTTTTAACCCTGGTAAGTTTGTTTTTTTTTGTTTTTGAAGTAAGTTTATGAATTTTTTTTTAATTTTCATCGTATTGTAAGTAGTGATCAGTCAAAGAAGTCATATTATACCTATGATGTTTTGAGTGTGTATATGTGATCAATCAAACAGTTAGTTTTGTCTATTCTTCTTCCGCTTTTAGTGATGATAGTCTTGGCACGTGTAAAAATGAGAACTTGTAGCTTTTTTTACAAACCCTGGTGTAGATTTTAAAATACTTCGAGTCAAATTGTGTAACTATCTTTCTTCATATTTAAAATTGTTTTGCGATATGCTGTTAACTTGTCCCTGGTCATGATCCATGTGCATAACTCCTTAAGAACTAGCGGTGTTTATGAAACTAAGAGGATAAAGAGCTAATCGCCAACACTCTGACCGGGTTAATTGTGTATGGAGGATCTACATTAGGAGAATTGGAAAATCCTGATCCCTAACCAATGGATCACAAGCACTCCAGGCAATAGATGGCGTACGGACTTCTTGTAGGTCATTGGCTGCCGTGAGATTTCATTTCTCGACGTTGCTCCACTGTCTTGTGAATAGTAGCTTTTGGCCAATGGCTCCAGGGAAGGCTCTAAGAAATCCACCTGTTTCGATTTAGAAACCCGGGTAGTATCTCATCCTTACATAAATTACATACGCCTGTTACCCTTAATGGAGCATAGGCCGCCGACTAGCGAATTATTTTTCTGGTTAGCGTGTTTTTTAGCGAGTTAGATTTCTCCAGGATAGGGTCTCTAACCTGACCCATGCCCAACTTTCCTTTATCCGGCCTTGGGACTGGCAATAACCCTAGAACAGCTCCAGGCGGAGTTAGTTCCTCATCCAGCGCATAAATGCTTGTATTCCCTTTTGTATCAATGATAATGTGTTATGACAGTAATAATAAAAGTTACTAATCTGTGTAATGATTGCCATTTTTACAACAATGAGCTCTAGTAATTATCTTATCACTAGTTTAGTTTCAAATCGATCGAACATGATCATAGCCAGAGATAATTTTATTCTCATGATGTTATACGTATATATATATTTGAAAGATTTTTTGATATTTATGGTCGGAACACGTTTACAAGACGATCACCCGACATTTTGCCTGGTTATCGCGATCCAACCTTTGGATTCCTCATAACATAGCAGCTATTTTCTGTAAATTTACAAGCAAAAGGAATACTGGTACCAATCATTTGGATTTCAAATCCATCCACCACCCTATTACTCAATGTTTTACTATGAATTTCTACGTCATCCATTTTTTTTTATAAATCTATTGTTAGAAATCGAAAATTGTGGCTTTTAGTAAGATTACAAATCGATATTTTGATTTCCTCTCGTTATTTTACTAGACGCTAATGGCTTATCCTCACGCCATCGCGTAGAAGCTGTAAGAGAGCAGCTTTATTCAGCTCTTCATTCTTATTGTACAAGTAATCAACCACAGGACACTTCCCGTTTCACAAAATTATTACTAAGATTACCTCCTCTACGATCTATCGCATACAAATGCCTTGAACATTTGGTATTTGTCAAGTTAGCGGCTGAAGATCCAACAAGTTGTCGTCTAATCAATCTTGTTGAGCATGGTGTATGGCCTATACAAGAGAAAAGTTTTGATCTTGTCACATTACCATCAAATAGTGCCTCGACAGACTCGATCCCAAGTCAAATTACCATGGCGAGTCAACCTACTCCCCAGTATATTCAACGTCAAGACGACAATTCAATACCAACTAGTAGTCATACTGATCTCTCCTATAAACACACATTGCCAAATTTTCATACAGTTCATAATTATCCATTTTGAAAATGCCAACTATCAAAGATGAGGAAGAAGTAGTCATTAAGCTTTCAGAAATCTTAAGCTATCACAATGATTATTTACCAGATCTCATGTTATATCTATCGACTGCTACCTCATCAATTATACATGATTATTATTTTTTACTAAAAATAACTTTTCGATCAGTTAGTTGTCTTTTCTTTCGTTTTCTTTTCATGGTCCAGTTTAAGAACTAAGATGTTTGCAATTATTTCAATTTGTGTATGTATATTTTACAATTAACACCAAGTGAGAATAGGGTAGATAAATAATGTATTGCTCAATCATAAATTCTATCTATGGCTTTTTATTCTTTACCTGAAACTTGTGTTGCTCACATTTTCTCTGATACTAAAGATTGTTATTTCATAATTGTTGATTTTGTATAGTTACCATAGGTTTGTATATATATTTATATATGTATGTATGTATATTTTTTAAAAGTTCTTTTAGTACAAGCCTTTTTAATTTTATATTTGAGTACTCATTGTATGAATGTATAATTGGTAATCTGTTTTTGAAAATACATTGAGATCCTTATATATCTGGTTAGTGATAATAATTTATCAGGTACTTACATATGAACCTCAACCACAGTGTGAAGTTTAATGATACTACTTAATTTGTCCAACTTATGTGAAGCAGAATGTGAACCTTGGACTTGATGGCTGAAACGTCATCCCTCTTAATCGCTAAATCACCATAGTTATTCATCTAGTTAGTCGTGTAACACGATAGGATAAAAACAGAGGTAAAGAGGGCCAGTGTCGTTAAATGGTTGTTATAACAAGATATATTACGTAAAATGAATGAACGCTGCTCTAGACTCAGACGCTTGAGTGCTACGGATGAAATTAATCTAATTGCCTAAATTACTGAAATGCTAAAAAATATCAATTAAGGGGAGCTTAGGCTGTTGGGAGCTTCCAGAAAACTTTAAAAAACGATTCTTGAGATAGGCTAAGGCAGTTATTAGTACAAGAAAAGAAAATAAGCGCGTTGGACAGCTTTCAGGTTGAATTACTTTTTTTTGGTTGGCGTTTTTTAGCGGATTAGTTTTCCACGGGATAAGGTTGCCAACAAGGAGTAACCCTAGAAAGGCTCCTTGAAGAGCAGCACTCTGGCCGGCGGCCTATGCTCCCATGAGGGGTAACAGGTCTTAATTTTACTAGATATATTAATAGAAATCTCA